CAAATAGGCTATTATCTTGACCAAAGTGATTGCGTTCTCTTTTTTCCACTCATTATTATTATCACGTGACAAAAGATCGGCCATACAAAATTTCAAAAATTTCAATTCATCCAATTCGTTCATTTTTAATATAAAAAAATTGTGTGTAACACGCAATTTTTGGGGGTTAACATAGTAAACTCGTGAAACTTTGAGAACTTTGATGTGTCACTCCTCTATGGTAACATGACATATCAACAAAATGAAATCATAGAATTGTAGAGAAAGGTCTTAGCTTTAATTCTATGATTTGTTTTTTGGTCATACATTTCCATTTTTGGAGAGGATATAGGATCTACACAGCCAATAAAAAGTTCAGCGACTAAGTGACTTGCACCATATCTATAATATTTAAATATCCATATGTATCTCAAGTTGTATGTATTGAACTTTATAATATTTGTTGTACTATCAAAGATAAATCTGAGTATACATTCTGTAAAATGATTAGTCTCATATGAATTATCATCACTGTCAAGCATCATCCAATAAATATTAAACTTTTTAGTATAATTAGTAATATCTATTTCTGTAGTAAACTTTGCATAATTGTATAGTGGTGATTTATCCAATAGTTCAATGGTGAGTATGATATTATTTTTTCGCAAGACATACTTGTACTTCACCAAGAAACAATTGATTATTATTTGGAGGCTTTTATAACTGTAAAAGGGGTTCCTCCATAATGTTGGAATACTAATATTATGCCATTGTTTGTTGACTCAGATACAAGAATAAAGCGTTTGGTAATCATCTTTAAAGTGATTAATTATTGGTATTAATATTTCAGGTGGAAAGTTTACCACCATCTTGATAATTGAGAAATATTTTTTTTTTTGAATAATAATAATAGGAAATTTTACCCCCATTTTTGTTATCGCTCCCACGTGACTAAGTATAGTAATGTGACCAATGAATGGCTTTGATCAAATAAATTGCTTAGCAAATAACTTGATCGTTTAGCAAATGGTTTTGATCAAATAAATAAATCGCTTAAAATATGATGATTTTATTGATTCCATCTTTGTCATAGTCACATGGGGTGCAAATAACAATTTCTCTAATACATTACTGCTAATTTATTTATTAAAAAATTTCCCCTTGTTGATCATCTCAAATTAATGACACACTATTTTGGTGTCACAATACTATAAAATCACATGACCCAAACGGTCAGCAAAGTAATCAATAGCTAAACCCACTAGGATAACTATAAAAGAAAACAAATAATTCATTGTATAATATGTTGTATGTTTGCTATTATTAATTTAACATATGTTTTTTCTTTTTATTTATTAATAATTAGCATAACAAATTGTGACGCAGGTATAATCTGTGATGCAAGACATATAGTTGGTGACGTGAAGTATATTCTTACTATATATGTTATTAAAATTATGAATTGTATCACGCATAATTAAAAATTTCATGAATTATGTATTGCGTCATAATATTTCCCATTCCAAAGTTCAGTTGTTGCCACCAGTCGAGGCTCTGATCCTACCAGTAATAAAGGAAGACTTTAATTACAATCCAGCAAGAATGTGTATTTTATTCCAGTAATAATTATTAAACATAATTAGTATAACTCGGTGAAGAAATTAATATAAAATTAAAAATTATTATTATAAATTATTATTGTTTACACATGCTCTTATTTATACATAACTTTTATTTCCTCCTCCACTTTCTGGTTGTTATATATATAACTTCCAAATACTTGAACAAATGCAAGCTTCATGATAACTAGAACAAATTTCTTCCACCCTGTTCCGCCTCTATTGTTTTGAGCTTCATGTCTTCGTGAACCATTAATGTTTTTATACCCATAATCATGTTGGCACAGATTGCGTTTATAAGTTTGATTCTAATTTGAAAATAAAAAACAAAAACTATAAGACTAAAGACTAGAATATATTAAACAGTTTCAGTACTTGGGTTTGGTTTGTTTTATAATTTTATATATATATGTATATATATATGTTTATTTATTATTCTAAAAAAAAATTTAAATAAAGATCAGTTATTTGTCTATTTCTATAGTATTTTTGTCCCACTGTAAACAGTGGGAAGATTTGGTGGACTTTTTTTTATTATAAAACTTACCCTGGGAAGATTTGGTAGACAATGTAAAGTGTATATAGTGAAAATAAAAAAAAAATTTTTTTCAAAGAAAAATAGGTTTTTATGAAATACAAAATATTGTTAAGAATATCATCAGTAAAAAAAAAATTGTTTTACTAAAAAAAAGATTTGTTTACTATGTAGTGATTTAATCTACTTTTTGCATCGTACTATACTAAAATAAATTGATCAGCACTAATGAATATTGTAATTGGTGATCATTTTCCTAATGGTAAATAATTTATTTATATGTAATAAAACAAATAATTAAAATAATGATCACTAATACTTAATCAACTTATCAACTAGAATTCAGATCAACTTAGCTGTCCCGTTCAGGCTGAACTGGACAAGGTCAAACTTGGGTTGACTCGAATATTAAGAAAATGAATCTTCAGCCCTTAAAAATAATAAATAATAAATAATTCCTCAATAATCATTTATTTTAATAATATAAATGGTTTTTTATTTTTCCATCATGTAAAACCACGAAACCGTGTTTGGTATTCAAATTTGGCAACTTTTTACTCAGTACTCAAGTTTATGATTACTTGTTTATATAATCAAATTACACAGCTGTACTATATACCAATAAGATATGATTATGATAATACATAGGATTGTCTTCACATAAAATAATTAATATGAAATTTATTTATACAGTGAACCCTCCCCAAGTGCACCCTCCCTAAATGCACACACTATGTATACCCTCCATAAATGCACACCCTCCATAAATGCACGCTCACAAGAAATAGCACTATGTTCCCAAGGGGGGTTCACTGTATATCAGATCTACCATGGAATTATAGTACTTATGTTTTCAAAATAAATGATACTCATACACTTGAATAAAGCTCCGAATGAACCAAGCCAGATGTACAGCTTGACTCGACTTGGCTTGAGTTTGATGTTATATAGGTTATTTCATACTTTTATTTTATTTATGCACATCGCCTAAAAAACAATTTAAGAGCCTATTCTCTTGAACTTGGAAATTCAAATTTTAACTCGAGCCTGCTCAGCTTGAAGTTTCCATTCAAATAAAATGAATCATTCGAATCAATTGAGTTGTATTATGGATAACAACTCTAGCTCGATTCAATAATAATAAAGATATTTTAAGCATTTTGCATTTCGCTTTAATTCCCTACAAATATCTGAGCAAATATTGTGAAATTTTATTCAGGCAAACCAAGGTTGGGTGCCGAAAGTATTTTGGAGGGTGGAAAGTATTTTGGCAAATGATAAGTACTTTTGCCAAAAGTGACGAAAGTGACGAAAGTGATGAAAATGTCAAAGATGACAAAAAATGTCGAAATTAATGGAAGTAATTCAAATTTTATTTTAAAAATAATAGAATTATTTAAAACAAATTTTAAGCATTTTTATTTCGTATATTATGTTGCTTAATTGGGTACTTGCTTCTTGTTTTAGTAGAAATTATTGCTTCATATTCATCATTGGCTTCACAACTTTCTTCAAAACCTGTAGAATAATGTAATAATTGTTGGTTTTCTTCTGGTTGTTGAAATGCTTCTTCATTAACTATTTCTGAAAATAAATCCTCATTCATTGATTCTTGAACTAATCCTAATGTAACATAATCTAATTCATTACTATCATCACTGTAATCTCCACCACTTTCCTCATTCATATCCTCATCCATTTTATCATTGTCTTCTTAAAAAAAATTATTTTCCAAATCTACAATATCATGAATTTCTAAATCTGTCAAATTAATTTCATCATCAACATAACTATTACTTTCATCATTATTACTTTCATCACCATTACTTTCATCATCATCATCTGAAATAACTTCTGCTTCAACCAACATACTCTTTAAATCCTTTCCTGTTAAAGTTTGACTGGTATATTCTAGTTCTTTTTTAATATTGCTTAGATGAAAGGAATGGATTTTAGCAATATTGTTTACAGAATTAATTCTTGATTATTATATGAATTTTCAGATGTATTATCTAGATTTAATGTTTGTAAATTCATATTGCATAATGAAGATGATTAAGAAGGAATTGGTGAATTAGAATTGGAAATGATGAAAAAATTTTTTGTTTATTTACACTTTGAATCATAAAAACATAAATAGTTTAAAGTTTACAAAACAATTGGTTAATTTTAATTACAATCGTGTCGATTTTGGCACTTTTGACACTTTCGTCACCCAACCTTGAGACAAACCACTCATTTCAACGAATTATAATTATATAAAATTCGTTGAAACATGATTAGTAATTTTGGTATTTAAAGGCAAGTTTTCTACATGTTCCATGGACTGTATATGCATATTTCAGAACTTAAAATCAATTAGAAGAACAAATATTGTTGTTTTAGTCTGACATAAAATTATTTAAATATTCTGCTATACAATTTATTATCCCTTAAACTGGCTATCGTACAAATTTGTACGATTAAATTTTTTTATATAAAAAATTTTTTCTGACCGTCATTCTTTCTAATTAACAAATGATATTTAGGATTTTATACATTGATCTATATATAGAAACTCGGCCATTATTAATATGGGGTTTGTAAAACTTTCTTAAAAAGTCTACCTTACGTCCGTGTCGATCATTTACTTTAAAAACTTTTTGCAGATCACTAATTACTATGGCCGAAAAGACACTAAAAGCAAAGATGACAGGCGAAGCTATTATTGAAAACAATATAAAAGAGCATAGATTCTTCATCTGACTCTTTAAATTATTTTTTTAACCATTCAATTATATTAATTAAAATTTTAACCAATAAACAACAATAATAACAATTTCTTTTTAAATCATTTATCTCTACACATGCAATCATTTTTCAATAAAATGTCCATTGAAGAAACCAACGAAAATATTGATAAATATCTATGTCATATTCACAGGAAACCTTTTACTATTTATGAAGATGAAACAATTGATTTAACACATTCTAGTTCTACTGATCCTGAAAATCGAAATATGGAAATTGATGAAATGAATGAATATGACATTAATGATAACAATATTGAATACAATACCAATAATGGTAGTAGTAGCAATAGAAGTAGAGGTAGGGGAAGGGGAAGAGAAAATATAATAAATCTTCCATCACCACCAACTTTTAACAAACTTGAACATGAGCATCCATTACATGATTCTAGCATAAATTTGCCCGATGATATCCAAACCTCATCTGAAAATTTTCCTTATGAATTATTTTCTTTATTTTTTACTGTTGATATTCTGAATATTATTATAAGAAGTACAAATATATATGCATCAGGAAAAGGTGCTGGAATTGGACGACCATGGACTGATTTAAACTTATCTGAAATAAAAATATGGTTAGGAATAGTAATATACACTGGAATATTTAAATCACCTTCAATACAAGATTATTGGAAGAAATCTGATAAATATCCTCATCATAAAATAATGAATTATATGACCTTAAAACGATTTGAACAGATCAAAAGATTTTTCCACATTTCCGATCCTTCAGAAGTCATACAGCAAGATCTATGGTATCATAAAGTAGAACCCCTTGCATCATATATATTAAATAAGTGTAAAGAATTCTATATTCCTTCTTCAAATTTATCTGTTGATGAAATGATTGTTAGATTTTCAGGAAGAAGCCCTCCATATCCACCAATTTCTGCAATGTTACACGATTTCAGGCTGATTTTAGGGCACATTTTCGTTGTTTTTGTTTTGTTTTAAGGTACAGTGCCAGTCACAAGTACACATCCAATTGTTTCAATTTTAAAATTTTGATGATCTTTCCAAAATAAGCAATAAACAAAATTTATTTTTTTTATATTAATATATACATCAGGAAAAAATTTTAACTCTCAAATTGTCTATCCACATCTCTATATACTGTCTCTAGAACAGAACGATGTGACTTGTATTGTTTCATTGCAAATTCTGCTTGGATTCCATCTAAACCTC